TAACAATAATTTCCTGTCTTCTTCTTATTCTTCTTCCATCCTCCATTCCTTCTTACACTGGCTCTCACACTTGCCTCGTCTCTTCTGCTATTAGTGAGTGAGAGAGAGAGAGACAGATTGCAAGGCCAGTCTATTGCCCATCTATAGCTGCCTGTAGTCGTTCTAATCGCCTAGCAGCTGTTCCTTCACCTCACGATAATTACAAGAATTATTCAAAAAATCAGTCAGGCAAAAAGAAACATGCCAACTTGTACGTATTATAGACAGACAGTCGACTTTACATCAGGAAACTTCGCCAGGGTATCTGAAAGATGGTACCTGTTTTCCTTCAATGCCACCACATGACTACAGATACAATTGAATGACTCCAGTAAGTGGCCGAGGGAGTGGTGGGACACCTAAAATGTTCCCGCACATCCTGACGATTATTATTATTATTATTATTATCCAGGCAGAAGAGTACCGATAAATGGTACATTAACATGTTGCAAATGGTGAAAATATTCTACAATCCACATATGTGATGTTTTTTTAAGAAATAACGTTAGCTTAATGTCGGCTTTTAAATTTAAATATATTTTATTAACGACCACCTATAAAATTTCAATACTAATTAAGATTATCACGTAACAGTTCTATTAATAATTGCCGATGGCGCATGATACTACCCGATATTCAATATAAGATGCTTTTAGGTTTATTTATCAATTCAGAAAAGTATGTATCGGTCAGGTTATGTCGATATCTAGGGCCCCAGAACTAACGTGAAAAATTGTTACGCGCATGTGACGATATCGGTCAGAGTAGAATACGTGTCGTGGGCGTCTGTTCTATTGTATCAAAACTTACTGACGTCGACTGGGATCACAGAGATGGAGTAAGTTAATTGTAATCAGTCTCTGAAAGAACGACAAGAATGTCATACCTCCAGCACGTACACTTTTTTATCTAAGAAACCACAATTCATAACAAAGTCTTCGAAAAACACGGATAAATTATGGGGAGGTACTCGGTTTGAGTCTTGGTTACGAAATGAGCGTTTGTACATGATCTTATGTTTTCCTGTGATGGTAATGATCTCCATTGAAGATGACTTATCACGTAAGTAATTAACAGTTTAACTTGGAAACGAAGTAACTGACGTCTTTCTTAAAAAGGTAAAGATATTTTTAGCCGTTTATGCAAACAGAATGTTCAGTAACTTGGTCATAAGAATCCGCGAATATTCACAGTCCTAAGTCAACTGTATCCAGACCATAACGTCACAACGAGTTTCGTTCAAACACATGTAGATTTACAAGTAATTTTCGGAAGAAGAACTTTCACTTCGGAATTTTAAAAAAAAAATATGTCCTCTCTCGTAGGTACTAACATTCTCGTCAGAACTCCTATAGCGTGTATCAGAAGTAAGCAATTTTAGAATTTTTTTCTGTTTTGAGTGCAGCGCGTAAGAAAAAGCTACGAGTGTATATATAAATAATTTATTTTGTGTGTTTTGAACTGAAATCCACCAAAACACGCGCGCCTTGCAGATTTATCCGTATGTACCCTAAAAATCTAAGCAGCGGCCTTACATCAAAATGTGATTCCAACGGATTTTGGGCGAGACTTACTAACAAAAATTGCATTACTCCACATTGCTTTCTTTCTGTCGCTGTAAAAATGTAATCAGTTCACAGATTCAAACCAAACGATGAGTAATCTATCATCGGTAGATGACAAACTACCACTTTAGACCTCTTGATCTCTAAATACAATCAGATATGAAAGCAAAAGCCAGATTACTGTAATTATGGATGAGTCTGATACGCCCTTTTCAGCATATAATCTCACGCGCGTCCCATATAAAGTCGACATGATTCCCGACGTTTCCGTATAACACTTAACACACAGAAAACGACTTTTTAACAGAGTGCAGACAAGAAATCATTCAAAAATAGAGCAAAATTAAAATATTTTGGAGCAAAACTATCAAATTAGAACGTGACGAAGATTACAGTAAAAGAAATTCCTGTAATTTATTTTATTTTAACACTAAGCGTAATATATGACCCGTTAAAGTTGACGGAAATAAAACTTTCTGTGTTTCACATTAATACAATTTATTGCAGTAATATTGCTTAAAATCGCACTGAAAGTAAACCACTGCGAATTTCGCCATAAACTAAAATAAATATGAAAACATTTTCACGACGATTAAAGCAAGATTTCTGCTGAATGCACCGACAAAAATCCGATCTCCTGACTCCAGACTCCGCCAGACCCCACCTAAGTCCTCAGTTTAACTTCTTGCTAGCACAGTCGACAACGTCAGATATTAATTTCAATTATTTTTCCGAGGGCGCATTTTTCGAATCAAACGTGAAGGACATTGGCTACTTTTTAGGACAATGCGACTTATTTAACGACGCTGTCAGAAGATCAGATTATGTAGAGTCGAAAAACAAACTAATTACTAGGTAATGAATTGAAAATGACGCGGGAGAAAGCCGTTGTGGCTTAATTGAAGGTACTTGTCTGAAGTCCTGATAGTAGTTCTCCAGACCGAGAATCGAACTGGGTCCGACAGAATAGGAGATTCCATGACCTCACTGCTGTATGGAGGGGTGTATGAAGATGACTATCGTCTGGGATGTTGCGACGTGTAGTCTGGTAGAAGTTTACGACCATGATGATGGAGGCAATAAAAACCTCTGAAACGTCGGTAAAGTTGCACTAGGCTACACGGCGCAAGATCCTAATAGACAGTAATTTTTAAAAGAGGTAAACTTTCGATCGCGAAATTCGGTCAGAGAATGCTTTTCACCATTCAACTCAAATTCATTTGTTTTTCGTGTGTTCTCTTTAAATTTATAAATACTTAAATATAAAAAATACATAATTTAGCCTAACCTCTTTAGTTTTCTTTTGGCTGGAATTGAGACAGTTCCTTCTCAGGGAGGAATTTTATTATTTGAAAAGGTTATCTAAGTTCTGTTCTGTGTGTAATGTCCTAAATGTAAGTAAAGAGTAAATTTTTACAATATTATTTGCTTAGGGTAGTCTGTAATTGAAGAAAACTCGGCCACATTAGACAAAAACACCTTACATAATGTCTGTATCATTATACACAGTGGAATCCAAAAGTATAATTCTTTGAGAGAAGTGGACATACGAGTGTTTTTTTAAGAATGGGGAAGCTTTGTGTTATAGCGAAAGTACTGCTGTGTTCATAACACTAGAAACATTACAATTCGAAACACAAAAAAGTGTAAAAATTTGTGGTTCTACTCTGAGAAGATAAAAGGTACCAGCTTTAAAAAATGACACTGAATCACAACAGAATGTCTTTCGAACAGAGTCCACTAATAAACAAGTCCTTTGCATCGAGGACAAGTTATCATGTTACTCATGTATGCGTTATTGAACAACTAGGGCGAAGATCTGATGATACTCACAGTAACAGAAAGAAATCAGAATAACGGGAAGGCTTTTGTTTGGAAGTGCTTGAGATTAATGTCACAAGCAATACAGCTCAGGTATTAATCGTCGTTCGAGGATGACAGAATCCTCAGAGGAGTTCGAAGAATTAACTACGATTAAAATTTCGCACGGCCCAGCAACAAGGGAGGATTTACTTTTACGTGTGTGTGAAACCATGAAGGAACTTGAGGTACCCTGGACAAAATTAAAAAGATGATAACAGAGGTGGGGCGGCGCGAAAAATACGTCATCCACCAACAGCCAGCCACTTTGTGGTAACACTTTAAATTTTAAACCTGTCATTAAACTTGTATTGTCGATTGCGAACTACATCCGACTTCATGGACTTTTAATCATAGTCAGTTCAAATTTTTTTTAGTCGTAGATCGATACTCAATATGTGGACGTCTTGTAAGTCCGATGGGTGGAGCTTGGAGCAGTGTTGAAATGATTTTTGGCTTTGAGGCTAAAAACACAAATGTTTATGAATGAGAAAGGTAAACGTATGGCTGACGTTAGTGATGAAAAGTGGCTTTGGTATTTCGCATTGCTACGTCAGTCACCATGACTTAAAAGCCAAACTTGAAAGGATCGAAAAGAGACTGAATTGTGTTGAGTTTGAGGTTGTAAAGAGTTTTTGAAATGAATGTCTTTGGCAAAGGTATTTCTTTTGGACATTATCCGTAGTCTGCCTTAGAAGTATTAAAAATCTTAAAACCTTAGAAGTCTATGCGATTGGACGGATGAACATTCCTTCGTCTTTAGGTAAAAATGGCGATACACCTACTCTATAAGCTCCGATATAAAAGAGGTGTTTTCAGTCTGTAGAAAATGAGTACTGGCCTCTGGCAGGTACGTATATATGAGGACTTTATTAGCGAGAGATAATGTATAAGTTCTGTTGTTAAAACTGTAGGGACTGTCTGAGTAAGAATAAGGGTTTTGAAAAAATTGTTTAATAAGTCTGGATCACTCTGATTTCCCTTTCAAAGTATCCACGCAGTAGCAATGATTAGTTTCGTGTATGAGAATTTTAAAATTAGATTAGATTTCTTTGGTGTCTGAACCAATTTTGGGTTGAAGTGAGTAGTGTTCTAGAAAAACTTAAAATTGAATTGTTTCGATTTCACTTTGACTCAGTTTTGCAGGAAGCTCAAATTGTCTCTTATGCTATTTTACCATTGTCCTGGTTTCTGGGTTACGCACCTTAGACCGAAATTTGAAAGGTGCGCTTGGTAGAACACATAAATAGGATTGTACACGTATGAAACAAAGCAAACGGAAATTACGTACAAGTCTCACACTATATGTGATGTTAACCTGCATTTGAAAAAGATTGGAATCAAATGTTAATTCTCTTATGGAGCAGAGGTAGGCCCACGTCTCACATCTCCAGGGAAGTTTATGGTATTTTTCCGTTTGTGTTGGCTACTCTATAGACACAATAGAATACCCTCTTCGCAAATTGTAACTTTCAATGTGGCCGGCCTGATACGAATGTTGATCATTCCTACACATGACAAAGAGAGGAAACTCACGTGTTGGATGCGGGCTACATCCTGAAGGGATGTGTACTGGCATGACACTGCAATCGGCACTTCTGGCTGGCATCTTAATCGGCAGCGACCACCTGTCGCCTTCACCTCTGACGTCGGACTAAGCCAAGTGACATTCCTTTTCTCTTGGGAAGTTAGCAGCGAGTGACCTGAGGAGTAAATGAAGTGGTTCGTCAGCGAAGATTACCTCTGTTCTGAAGGAACATGGCCGATGGTACCATCCAGCCATTGGACATACATTTTCAATCTATTTTACATCCTCAATGATGATCTTCTGGGTTGACAAACCCCGATATAGCGCTCTTGTATGTACTGATCCCTCGTATTGCGCCCACGAAAGCCTGGATGCTGAAATTCCCGAGGTAAATTACAAGGGAGTCCCCCCGGTAAAGCGCCTTCTTTGCCAATACATGTGGCAATACAAATGTACCGTTACGCACTATAATTAAATCCGATACAGTGCCATAATTTCTTTCTACAGGATATACACAGAGCTCCCAGGTACATTCAGGTGTATAAATACTAGACATCAAGATTTATTATACAGATACAATATCCCCTAAATCTAACAAGGCCTATTACTATCAAGTTAATACATGTTTATTTCAATATTGAAAACTTTAAGCGGTGTTGAAATAGAAGACACGTCATATTCACTACGTTATACATTAAGAATCAATTAACGAGGGCACGGATATTAATCAAACTGTTATAGAAGTTTTCCTCCTGTACGTAACTGAAATTCAAGTAATCATAATTAACTTAGCTACGTACAGTCTTCAAGAGCTTGTAATGCAATGTAATGTCTCATTTTCTTTAAAAAGCAAAATACAAAATCTGAAAGAAGACGTATGGAAACAGTAAACTCCCAACTGAGGTATATTGTATTATATTACATAATGTGTAAGAATTCAAATAAATGTTGCATACAACAAATCTAAGATCGAGTGGGTGGTAAGAGACGTGTGAATCATGAAATCCAAACAGAGGGGAGCTGAAAGTAATTTCATACATGTTATAAGAGTCCTATGAATCAAATTCAATAGTATCGCTAGACAACGCCACTATTATTAAAACGTGCAGCAGAGAGAGAAAATTTCAACAGGTTATTTTAAACTCAATAAAATTTTCTCGGGTTATCAGGGGCGTCAGGTGGTAAAAGGATGCAACCGACGATTCAGGGACCAGCTCTGTCCCCATCATCAGATTAAACCGTCGGTTGCATCGTCTAACCATCTGACGCGCCTGATAACCCGAGAAATTTTTTATTGAGTTACGTCGCAGTGAAAGCTTCAAATCGGGTTATATTAACGCTTCAAATTTAGAGTGCAGACCTGCTTCGAGTTTGATTCCATCATCATCAGAGCGAAGCATCTGGGTTCCACACTTGGTTTCCCTCTAAAACCTGTACTGCAATCGGAAGTCTTTAAAAAATAAATACCACCTAAATCCAACCAAAACTAATTTTTACAGGAAGATTTGGCACAGCTACAACGTGAGCTAGTCTTACCCAGTACAAATTCGGGTAGTAGAACTGCAATCCTGGTTGATTGGTCTTATTCCTTCAAGATAAACAGGTAGAAAGTGCTTTAAAATTGGCCACAGCCACTTCTTCTGAAACTCTTATACAGATTTATCTTCAAATATCATCCTGTCATATCACATTCAATGTTAAATTTCCCAGCAGTCAATTCTCTGACGCAAAAACTAAGAAATCAATTCGGCAAACTTGTAATCGCTATAACGATCAGGAAATTTTCAATATATTATAGCCCATGAAAGTTCGTTACCGTATACACAAAAGCGCGCCACTAGACGCTATCCTTATTCGAAATCTTACAACATATTTCCTTAAGATCAGTTTTAATATTATCCTGTCACCTACGATTACGTCCCAAAAGTAGATCCATCCCACTCAGTTTTCACGACTTAAAATATTCTCTTTAACCACGTCACTCCAGGTTACCAAACTCTGAACTTTTCAATTCTTTAAAACTGGTGCATCAAAATAGCAGCAGTGCCAAATGAAGGGGGAAAAGAACACTAATTAATGTGTCGGTGTTTTAATAAGTAGCCTTTATATTTTGTTAACGTTTTTTTATATAGCTTAGACTACGACAACGACGGATCACATGAAAACTTTACTTAAGTTTAAATTTGATGGCAATAAATAATGAACCATTTGTACGTTGGTGTGAGGACAGTAAATATACTTTAACACTTCACATAAACATGCTTTTATATATCATCGATTAAAATATGGCGACGATGCGAAAGCGTTGGATTATATTAGACAATTTAAACAGTAATAATTTATACTCCTACTCCAGTATTGTCAGGGCGATTAAGTCGAGAAGAATGAGATGGGCCGGGAATGTAGCGCGCATGGATGGGGCAAGAGGTGTGCACCGGGTATCGGTTAAGAAGCCTGAGGGGAAGAAACTTCTAGGGAGACCTAGACGTAGATGGGAGGATAATGTCAGCGATGACGGTTTTTCTTTTCTGTACACGTTGTATAATATTTACCAGATGCAGCAAATAAACGTGTTCACTATCAGCCTGTTGTCCTAATGATGACATCACCTCATTAACACTTTCTAGCACTTTGCTTAATTTTGGTAGCACGAAAAAATTAACTAAGGCGGGGCATGTAGGGTGCATGGATGGGACAAGAGGTGTGCACCGGGTATTGGTCGGGAAGCCTGGGGGGAAGAGACCTCTGGAGAGACCTAGACGTAGATGGGAGGACAATCTCAGGCGGTATCTATGGGAGATAGGAGTTGAAGGAGACTGGATTTTGTTGGCCCAGGACAGGGTCCGGTGGAGGGCTTTGGTTAATTCGGTGATGAACCTTCGGGTTCCGTAAGCCATCTAGTTAGTTAGTTAGTAATTTATACTAATGAAAATTACTACAGAAATATCAGAAGACTAAATTACATAACTGTCAGAGTTTTGTTTCCGCTACCCTTATAACATAAACTAATGCATTTGCAGTGCTCATTACAGACTAGCTCCGAACTCATCATCCGAACGCACAATTGCCAGCGTTTCCCAATCTGAAGATGCCTTCCAACCTTTGACTACGGAGCGCCCACCTGTCACACCAGAGGGCAAGGGGTCTTTCATGCAATGTTGTGTTACAGCTCTGTCTGCAGTGCTGAAAACCTTACTTTAAAAACCTTGACTTTTATAGCAGCATTGAAAACAGAGTCTTTTATAGCAATGGCTGTACTTCCAAACAACAGCAGATGTTAGAAAGCCGTGTACTATATAACCTGTCTTCATTCATGTGGTCTACTAACATGTCCACAAACATGTGGTTTTTCGTACCATTTAACACAATGAAATTTACCCTGGAATTCAGAAACGCCCATAGGTCAGCGTACAATGAAATTCAAGGCATTTCGGAAAATTTGCTTTATGTTTTACTAAAGAAACAATAATGTGGGGAGGTACAACTGTTTTGTGAAGGCCCCTTTAGAAATAGGCAGCAGTTAGTCATCTGCTTCTCAAGAACTTTTGTTTTCAAATATAGATTTTTAAACAAATACACACAGACAGACGTTCATGTCTTGATCAGGTCACCTCATTTCCTTTGCCTCGTGGAATCTATGAGGCAGCTATGTTTTGGAAATGTAATATGTGATCATCTGTGATGTTACCGATGTTGAATCTCTGAATTCTGCTGGGACAAAGTTAGTTTTTGAAGAATTTGCAGAGGGAGGTACGTTGTACGTATTTTGTTGAATGGTATTTCTATCACAGGCTGAGACGCTATTACTGCAACATTTGCACTCCTAGTGACCGTCATTGGAGTTACTTCACTTATTCCACGCGCCATTAAATCATTTTTGAAGTTCTTCCGGTAGATTAAGTTCCATTTTTGCTCACAGTTTACTTTTATATAAACAAATATTTGAAAGACTTCAGATAATTCGTATTCATCCTAAACATAACAGTAAATTAGCATCTTGAGCACTTCCTCAGTCCTTAAAAATTCGTGACTGAAAATTGGTCCAATCTGTCCAGCTGTTAAATTAAAACGTTTCCCATACGAACTTATTACTGTTGTTCTTAATTGCTCTAATTACATTTGATGTGGCCTGCTGTAACCTGTAGACATACCAGCAGAATACAATGTCAGTGTTTCGAGTAAGGCATAAAAATACAGCACCGTAAGGTGGGCCAGTGATAACATTAAAGACATGTGGTGATTAGTGTCTAATCGCTAGTAATATATGGCACTGAGAGACGCGGTTACTTTTAATTCTGTTTCAAGAACATAATCCTCAGTTTGTGTTGTAAGTAATGTTTAAACAATTTAACCAAAATTCGTATTTATAAGTACTTAAGTCCATGAACCTGTCTGTTCCTGATATCAGGTCTCCTTACTAAGGAAGTTTCAGCCTCGTCTGATTGACACAACTCAAACTGGTTAACTCATGGAAACCCCAGAGTCAATATTAAACGAAGTGTGATTATATTTTTAGAAACTTACTGCTTATTAAAAGTAAGAGTGAGAAAAAGTTGATGAGGTGAAAATTTGAACCAAAGAGAGAGAAGAATTTTACATAACGAGGAGTTTAGAAATATTTGTAATCTTCACAAAATATTATACATCACGATGATAAAAGCAAGTAGGATGAGACATGTGGGACACGTAGCACGCACAGGGAAATTGATACGAAATTTTAGACAGAAAATCTAATGGGAAAATACAACTAAAGATATCTAGGCTTAAATGGAATAATAATATTACATTTATGTTAAATATATACTGTGAGAATTTAGACTGGATTTAACGGGACAAGGAAAATATCAAATGACTAGAATGTTGTGAACACGGTAATGAACCTTCGGGTTACATAAAAGGTGGGAAATTTCTTGATAACCTGAGAGATCATTAGCTTTTGAAGAAGGACACATCTCCACGGAATCAGGTAGGTTCATAAATAAATGGTTATTTTTATGTGTACTGAAAAATGAGTGGAAGAATGTGGTGAAATATTTTTGGTAAAACCAAATGTATATTGACTACAAATAGGCTATAGGAACTATTATATAATAAATTCAGGGAATGAACAATTTTTTTCGAAGTGTGAAGCAGGTATCGGGTAATTTTATGTGTCATTTGAACAACGTAACAGCT